CTTTCCCTCCTGTGACACCCAGGGTGGTCCTTTCTCTCCTCTTTCCCACAGGATCCAGTGTGGCCCAGATGGTCACTCAGCCTCAACCAGAAGTGTCTGTGCAAGAGGCAGACACAGTGACCCTGGACTGTACGTATAGCACTAGTAAGAGTGATTATTATTTGTTGTGGTACAAACAGCCTTCCAGCGGGGAGATGATTTTCATTATTGGCCAAGAAGCTTATAAGCAACAGAATGCAACCAACAGTCACTACTCTGTGAACTTCCAGAAAGAAGCCAAATCCTTCAGTCTCAGTATCTCAGACTCCCAGCTGGAGGATGCTGCAATGTATTTCTGCACTTAGAGTGGTCCACAGTGAGATGAGCAACAGAGAGAGACTTACAGAAACCTCAAACCTCAGCATCTACGCAGAGGTTGGGGGCAAGTAGTTGGGGTAAGATGAACATAGAAAAATCATTGACTTCTCTGGAGAAAAAAAATACTATTCTATCTGCCTATAAGAAACACAGAAATGATGGTATAAGCTGGAATTCTCAAAATAGTAATAAAAATAATGGAGATACACAATGCTATATAGTTTTGTAAAGTACATTCACATGTATTTATTTAATTCTCACAACCCTGTTGTTATATAGGACAGGTCAGATATTCTGTGTCACTGCCATCCAGGGACTCTCATAGCTTGAACTAAACCTGTATTCTCCATCTGCATGCTCCATGATCATATCAAAGTCAACATATCCGAAGTTGAGCTTTTATACTCCCCACAAATCTTATTTTTTATTTTTCCCTCCTCAGCTTTGCTCAGGATTAAGACACACAGTAAATTTCTGAGTTTGAAGAATTTCTCCACCCTCTACCTACCAGCCTAGGCTATCTGATCTGTGTGTGTGTGTGTGTGTGTGTGTGTGTGTGTGTGTGTGTGTGTGTGTGTGTGTGTGTGTGTGCGCGCGCGCGTGCGCCCACGCCTTATTTCTTTCTAATTACAAAACAGGTTGAAAAACTACATCACATTTATCTCATTGTTTCCTGACTGATCTATCAGTCACCCTTCCTGACTTTAACCTAATTTCACCCTGTATTTCTTAAATTTCCTTCACGTACCATTGGTCTGACCTAAGAAGTTGAGGAAAGACAACACTGCCAAATAGGATTTCATGTGCTGCTAGTACTCATCAGCAAATGCAAATTAATTAATTTAAAAAAAACAAGAAGTTTAGCTTCTGGTTACGCTATCATTGCTTCTGGGAGGAGGTGAGCCATCTAAAAGAACCAGGTCTAAAGGTAGGGCCAAGCAGCTACCATCATCAGGGTCACCACCTTACATCCCCTGAGAAATAGGGGATGTCTGGACCTGGAAAGGATTCACCATACTTATGCAAAGCGGAAAAAATAATAAAATAGAAAAAATGATCCAACATTTCTTTGTATGTCCATAATTCCCCCAAAACATAGCTTTTGCTATGAATACCCCTCGTGGAGCATTTAATTCCATCTGCCCACTTCAAGTGAGTGATAAAGTTGGAGCAGATACTCCATGGCTGTATTTAAGTCCAATGAGAGGTTTCCAGAGCTGAGGTTGGAGGTATGTTTAGAATGAGTGATGGAAGTTACTGGATTTGGACGAAACCAAGGGGAGCCAAAGCCAGATTGCTAAAGAATAACTAAAAATAAGCTTTCATAGGAATACTGTTTCATCCCTTAGTTAACAGTACTAGCTCATGGGATTAGGTACCCAGGCTGGAATAGAACCAGAGCTGGTGACATGCAGATGTTCTTTTGGATTTCCTGTGGCTTTTTCACAGCCTTCCTTGAGAGCTCCTCCACTGCCTGCCTTAGGGCCCTAGCCTCATAGCTAAAGGTCCCCTTCTTAGTCCCCTTGAACAGCTTGGAGCCGTCTGGAACACTCCCATTTAGTTTCACATGCTGCAGCCCAAGGGCAAGTTATGCCACCCCTGTTCACCAAATCCCATTCACTCCCACCACTCACTCTAAACATACCCCTTCCAGCCTCAGTTCCTAGAGCATCAGGTCCCAGCCCAGGCTCAGCACCCCAGGCTCTAGCTTGTCTAGAAAAGCAGGTGAGACAACAAACTCAGTGAGGGTATCACCTCTCAAACAAGTCAGATAACTCTAGGCCATTCAAGTTTTACCCTCTCTTTTACACCCCAGGTCCAAGTAGTCACCAAGACTTAACAGACTCAAGCTAGTTATCAAAGCTTACTTCTTTCTGTTCTTGCTTCTAGTGGCATCAGCTCCTCTCATTTGAATTAATAAATGATCATCTACCTCTAATTCATCTATCATCTAGTCTCTCCATCCTCATTTGTGCCCCCTTCAACCACTGCTTCACACAGCCACCAAGTGACCTTCCTACAATAAAAATAAAGTCATTCCTCCTTCAACAAAGCCCTGTTTCCCGTAGAAGAAGACTGTGATTATTCAGAATGTGAGTCCATCAAAGCAGAGACCATCACTGTACCCCAGCACCTTCCATGCCTGACAGGGTAAACAGTCGAGAGCTATCTGCTGAATGGATTAATGGATTAGTAATTCAGCCTCCTTTGTTGCCGCACTCCTATCCTCTCCCACTCTATGCTCTCATCTCATCAGCACATGAAATTATTTCCTGCCTCTATGCCTTTGTGGACTCCGTTCCCTCTGTGTGGAATACCCATCCCCGCTCAGCCACTTCACTGCTGTTCAAGATGTTCCCAAATTTTCCCTCTTCTCCGAATTCTTATCCTGACCCTCTTGCCCAGTTAAAACTGACCACTTCCTCTTTTTAACCCATAACTGAAACCCTAAGAATATTTCTAGTGTAACAAACCTAACACTTTATGGAACTTAAATGTATGTTTTACTTTATTCCAACAAAAATGCACGCTTTACTTGTCGGAAGCTGAGTTTTATTCATTTGAATAGCAATAGTGCCTACAATATTCTTAAATTCACAGGTATAATTTTTTTTTAATTTGGCCAGTGTTATATTGCTAGTTTGTTTTTGTTTTTGTTTTGATTGAGGTAGAGTTGATGTACAATATTATATGTAAGTTTTAGGTCTACAACATTGTGACTCACAATTTTTAAAAGTTGTACTCCATTTATAGTTACTATAAAATATTGGCTATATTCACAGATATGATTTTTTAAAGTTTTTTTGAGTGAAGTTAATTGATGGCGTTTTTCTCATTAAACATGATAAAATAAAAATTCATAACTTTTCTACATTGCCATCTCCTCCACAGTTGTATTTACTAGGGATTCTGAAGTAACTCATAGGAAACAGACTATATGGTATGCAGAAAATTAATAGTAATGACAATATTATATAAATAATAGTAGTAGTAGCTAACACAAATTGTTTATACATGTTCCACATTCTGACAGGTTCACAACATGTATTATTTTATTTAGTAGTTTCAACAAATCAACTCAATGGGATGGGTGAATGGAAGAATGGACTAATGAAAACACAGGCAGGAATAAAGGAGATTTATATAGTAGGATAGCAAATTTACACTGTACTTAGTTACATATAGAAAGATATGTAAAGAAGAAAGTTTCTCTAATGATCTTTCCCATTAACCAACCCATCCACTAAGTCGTTATGAAACTTAAACTTTGAAACTTGCAATTAACAATACCTCAGTTTCTTCAGGTTTAAAGAGTTCCTTTCAGGTGTCAATGTTTTTAAATATTCAGTCTATTTAAAGTTCAACTCCGCGTCAGGGCTGATTTAAAGTCTGTTGGATGACTCAATCTCTTTAGGTGCTTTGTTTGAAGTTCCACCACCTTAACCTCCCCTTCCCCAGGATGACATCTGGGTAATAAGGGGAAATAATTGAGTGTCAGTTGAGGAGGGAAAAAAAGGCTTAAATCCATGCACTGCTTTCTGGATCCTTTGGTCTATGTAGCTGAGTAGACAGTCTGGTCTTCTCCATGGGTAGGTAACTCATTAGGTGTGGGTTACCCCACCTGGGCTTTTGAGATGTGCTCCACTCTCCAAGATTCCTGTGCTCTCATATTTATCTACATGTTTCTAACCTATCCTCACCCCATGAGTTAATCTGTCTTTCACATGGGAGGGAAAGGACAAGGGTCCCAACATCTGATTTCCTTGCTCTGCCTCCATCTTCCTTTTTCTTTGATCAGTCTCCCGAGACCAATAAAATTGACATTCCTATCTCACCTACACCTTCCTGTCACCTTTTCCTTACATAAAAACTCTACTATCAAGTCTAACAGGCCTTACTTATAACATATTGAAAGATATGATGAAATAATTTAGAAAAAAATTTACCTTTGAACGAACCAGTTATCCAAGACAATTCTCTTGCTGAGAAGTCAAAAATCCAAATTAAATGTCAGAACTAAATGACGAAATGAACTATTTTCATTCCTTTGGGAATAATCTAATCTCCCCTCCCCACTCAAAACAGATAGAAAGAATATAAATAAGGTTATGTGCCTGGAAATGTAAAAGAAAAAATATTATGTTTCAAAAATATATTCCCAATTACATGGAGAGAGAGGAAACAATTTATGTACCCAAGAGTACAACATGTGAAAATCACCATGGGTATTTTCAAAGAAGACAAGACTTTTAAAAGTATAAAAATTAAGAAAATGAAAGATAAGCCACAGACTGGGGGAAAATATTTGCAAAACATGTATCTAGTAAAAGAGTGGTATCCAAAATATACAAAGAGCTCAAACTCAACAATAAGAAAATAAAAAGCCCAATTAAAAAATGGCCAAAAGATACGAACAAACATCTTACCGAAGAAGTTATACAAATGTCAAATAAACGTATGAAAGCATTATATATTGATATAATTAGGGAACTTCAAATTAAATCAACAGTGAGATACCACGACACACCTACTAGAATGAGTAAAATCCAAAATACTGACAACACCAAATGCTAGTGAAGATGTGGTGCAGCAGGAACTCTCATTCATTGCTGGTGGGAATGCAATATGGTATGGCCGCTTTGGAAAACAGTTTGGCAGTTTCAAACAAGACTAAACATAATTTTATCATGATTCAGCAATACAGCTCCTTGGTATTTACCCAAATGAGTTGAAAATTACATTCATACAAAAACCTGCACACAAATGTTTATAGCAGCTTTATTTGCATTTGCTAAAACTTGGAAGCAACCAAAGACAAAAAATCCAATTAAAAATGGACAGAGGAGAAATGTCTATTTCGATCTTCTGCCCGTTGTTTGATTGGGTTATTTGTTTTTTTGACACTGAGCTACATGAGCTGTTTGTCTGTTTGTATATTTTGCAGATCAATCCCTTGTCGGTTGCTTCATCTGCAAATATTTTCTCCCATTCTGAGGGTTGTCTTTTCATTTTGTTTATGGTTTCCTTTGCTGTGCAAAAGCTTTTAGGTTTCATTAGGTCGCATTAGTTTATTTTTGTTTTTATTTTCATTACTCTAGGAGGTGGGTCAAAAAAGGTCTTGCTGCAATTTATGTCAAAGAGTGTTCTGCCTATTTTTTCCTCTAAGAGTTTTATAGTATACGGCTTTACATTTAGGTCTTTAATCCACTTGGAGTTTATTTTTGTGTATGGTGTTAGAGAGTGTTCTGATTTCATGCCCAGCACCACTTATTGAAGAGGCTGTCTTTTCTCCATTGTATATTCTTGCCTACTTTGTCATAGATTAGGTGACCATACAGATGGACAAAAAGCACATGAAAAGATGCACAACATCACTAATTATTAGAGAAATGCAAATCAAAACTACAGTGAGCTATCACCTCACACCGGTCAGAATGGCCATCATCAAAAAATCTACAAACAATAAATGGAGCGGGTGTGGAAAAAATGGAACCCTCCTACACTGTTGGTGGGAATGTAAACTGGTACAGCCACTATGGAAATCAGTATGGAGGTTCTTTAAAAAACTAAAACTAGAGCTACCATATGATCCAGCAATCCTACTCGTGGACATATATCCGGAGAAAACCATAATTTGAAAAGATACATGCACCCCAATGTTCATTGCAGCACTATTCACAATAGCCAGGACATGGAAGCAACCTAAATGTCCATCAACAGAGGAAAGGATAAAGAAGATGTGATAAATATATACAATGAAATATTACTCAGCTATAAAAAAATGGAATAATTCCATGTGCAGTAACATGGATGGACCTAGAGACTGTCATACTAAGTGAAGTAAGTCAGACAGAGAATGACAAATATCATATGACATCGCTTATATGTGGAATCTAAAAAAAGGGTACAAATGAACTTATCTACAAAACAGAAATAGAATTACAGATGTAGAAAACAAACTTATGGTTACTGGGGGTAAGAGGGGGAGGGATAAATTGGAAGATTGGGATTGACATATACACAATACTATATGTAAGATAGATAGCTGATAAGGACCTAGTGTATAGCAAGAGAACTCCACTCAGTACTCTGTAATGGCCTATATGGGAAAAGAATCTGAAAAAGAGTGGATGTATGCATATGTGTAACTGATTCACTTTGCTGTACACCTGAAACTAACACAACATTGTAAATCAACTATACTCCAATAAAAAAAAAATTTTAATGGACAGAGAAACTGAATAGACATTTTTCCAAAGAAGGCATGCAATGGCCAAAAGGCACATGAACATGTGCTCAGTACCACTAATCATCAGAAAAATGCAAATCAAAACCACAATGAAATGTCACCCCACACCTATTAGAATGGCTGTCATCTAAAAGACAAGACATAAGTGTTGGTTAGGTTGTGGAGAAAAGGGAACCCCTTATGCACTGTTGGTGGGAATGTAAATTGGTGCACTCACTATGGAAAACAATGTAGAGGCTCTTCAAAAAATAAAAATAGGATTACCATCGGATCCAGCAACCCCACTCCTGGGCACATATACAAACAAAATGAAAACGATATCAAGGAAATATCTGCACTCCCATATTTATGGTAGCATTATTCACAATAGCCAAGATATGGAAAGAACCTAAGTGTCCATCCTTAGTTGCTTGGATAAAGGAGAAGTTGAATATATGTACGATGGAATATGATTCAGCCATGAGAAAGAAAGAAATCCTGCCATTTGCGACAACATGGATAGGCCTGGAGAGCATCGTGTAAGTGAAATAAGCCAGAAAAGACAAATACAGCATGGTATCACTGATATGTGGAATCTAAAAGGAAAAAAATGTCAAAATTTTTTGTGTGACTTTTTTGTTTGTTCTCCTACAGAGAGTAGGAAAGTGGTTGCCAGGGCTGAGTTGTGGAGGAAATAGGAAGAGGTTGGTAAAGGGTACAAAATTTCAGCTATAAGATGAATAAAGTCTGAAGATTTAACGTAAAGCATGGTGACCACAGTTGATAACATTGTGTAATTGAAATGTGCTAAGAAAATAGAACTTAAATGTTCTCAGCAAGAAAAAGAGATAAATATGTGAGGTCATGAATGTGTTAATCAACTAGATAAGGTGAATCCTTTCAGAATATCTACCTATACATAAATCACCACGATGTGCACTTTAAATATCTTAAAATTTTATATGTCAGTTGTATCTAAGAAAGGCTGAAAAAAAGCAATGTACTAGTAAAGATACCACCATAAAATGTAGACACTCAGTATTTTTATCACAGCTATGTTTTGAGGGGAAAGACTTAGAGAAAATGGAAGTTCTGAGGGTCACCCCTCCTGTCTGTCACAGTGCTCAGTGACAGAGCCCCAGAGGTGCTGGTGCTTGGAATGTATGAAAAACTACATTGGTTGCTGAAACAAAACTAACACAAAATCAGGAAAACAGGATCAAGGTAGATTTGGGTGAGAGGCTCAGGAGAGAGAAAGAACTATGATGAGGAAATTGAGACCTCACTGGATTTTACAAGCACAGTTTTGCTGTGGGGCTGACACCAAACTTGTGGTTTCACAGTTGAATTTAGGAAGAGGATGTGGGGCACAGTATCCACAAAATTCTTGGACCTCAACCTTGTGGCTCCTGGGACATGGTTTGGAAAGAGGGATTTTCCAGAGTTCATCACTTGTGTTACTGATTCCTTCCAAGGGGGAGAGGGGGTAGAGGGCAGGTGATGGGGGAGTGGATGCCTCAGGGTCAGGGGTTCTGGGAGATTCCAAGTTCTCTGTGAGCAGGGCAAAAAGGCTCTCAGTATCCCAGGATATCCTCAATATCCCAGGATATTCAAAACAGCCCAATATTTAATCACCTGTTTCGTAAGGGCATAGATCCACCAGAACAGACAGGGGAGGGTCAGATTTCCAGAAGAGATGGTTGGTGGGGACCCCCTGCTATGCTAGGCATTAACTCTTTAGTTGCTGAATCCTGGGTAAATCTGGGTAATGCATAGTAGATACTGGAGGAGAGAACTTTCAGAGGTGACGAATTGCCAATGAGTGTGGAAGTATTTCTATATTTAACAGCCAGTATGGGTCTCACAGCACATACTCATAACATCAACTGTGTGAGGAGTAGTTACTCTGCCTATAATTCATGTGTATTGTCATCGGGTACTTGATTCATTTGTTCCCAGATGTGATTAACTGAGGGAGCTTAATGTACCTTTCCATTCAATATCGTCCTTTAAAAATATAAAATAATTTGGTTAACCAACTTCTTAATTTATGTAATCATCTCAAACAATAAACATTGTTTTAAAAAGATGAACTTCTATGGAATGGTAGTTAATCAGTCATCACTTCAATCCGGACACTGTAGGGGTCAATAATAGAAGACAGTGAATGAGACTCTCCTTCCTTCTTGAAAA